CCAAATATCTGATTGCGTTTGTTAACACTAAACAATGACAAATATGGTTAAAGTTGATACACAATCACTTAACCCCAAAAAAAGTTGTTAACTAGAGATGACAACGTGAAATGTGGTTAAAATTAGATTCAGAATCGCACTACAGGTGTTTTATATGTTTTTGGGGTCGCTGAACATGAATCTGAAGTTCCCCTGCAGTGAAATCCCAAACTAGTCAGGAAAAATACTAGTTTACAACTAGAATTTCATAACAGAAACCGAACTAGTTCGAAAATGACCAGAGTTGTACCAAGTACCATCGATTTATTCATACCCTGTATTATTTGACTTCGACAGTTTAATACAATAAAGTACACAAAATAATATAACTTTTTTTGGGTATATCGTAAACCGTTAAATTGAGTACGTATTCAATTATACCAGACCTGTTATTTTGTTATTTTTGATCATTTTCAATTATTTTTTATTTTGTTTATTACACGATTAATATAATTATTTGATTAAATTATATTATCAATCAATAAGCCAAACTATGGACAAATATGAAGAATATTTAATAACTGCTTGAATTACACAGGCCAACAAGGTTTTTTAACTAAGAATCGGACTATACTTTTCTGAAGGTCTTTGACGTGCTGAATTCGAATCTGACCCCAGATCACGTCAGGTTTTCGGGATATTCTAACCTAAAAGTACAAAAATCACGGTTTTTAAGCACATTTGAGCTGCACTACTCCTCCGCTTCAAAATTCATTTTAAAGCTTTAAAAAATCTTTATTTGTTACCGAGAAGTCGTCTGTTGAATTTACTGAGTTTAGTAAATTCGTTGATATTCTGAAAATGAGGAGTATTGGATGTTAGAAATTGAAATATCTATGTATTTATTTTTTCTTTTAATAAATACTCAAAAAAATTAACAATAATTATTGGCAAATCTAAGGCTGCTAAATAAAAATATGTAAAATAAAAAAGTGTACTTAAATGTTTTTTATTGTATATTCATGAATTCATTTTATTTTTTGACTCCCAAATGAGTGGTTTTGGTCCATAATTAGACTAGTATTTTTCTGTCTATTCTGAACTAATGAGACTGGTATATTTCTGACCGAAATCTGACAATTGCCATTTCGTAGGACATCCCCATGTTAAAAATACCAGTTGACTGCATGGAAAAAAGATAGTTGGCTGACTAGTTGGGCATGCGATTCATACTAGTTGTGGGGTAGTTTACAACTAGTTCATTTGACTACAGGGTCGTTTTGCTCCATCACGTCAGGATTTGCTTCTAACTTCAAAACACATTGCGAAACTCAATGAACTCCTCCGAAAGGCATTCTGAAGTACGTCCTATAAAAGCCATTCTGGAAGGCCTTCTATGGGTAGCGAAAGAATAATTCCATACAAAAAAGAACGTAGGCCTCTTGACTCTCAGGAAGGCCTTTCGGAAGGGCTAACAAGCCTGAAAATTATCTACTGGGTTATAAAGTGATGTATGTTTAATACAGCCATGCATGATAAAAGCATAGTAAGGTAAAACCGTTCTCTCAATGCGTCGGCCATGATTTTTTTTTTTGAAGTTTGCCAACATTTTAACCCCAGGAGGTTCAACCAGGTCTGTGCAGACCTTTTGCACATAAACGTGTGTATAACTTTTTTGTTTTGCGTGCTAGAGACGAATCCTTCCATGACTTCCTAGAAGCGGCTACGGCGAACACAATAAGCATAAAATCAGACCTCTTTCGTGGTTGTGATGGGCTTTATTCGTATTTGCAAACGCAATGGCTCAAACGGACCAAACAGGTTTGTGCAGACCTATGTGTGGCATGAATGCTGGAGCAGGCGTATTAAAAATGTTTTGACCACGGACAAACCAGTTATAAGTTTTATCGCAAAAACCTTGCCCCATAACAGTTATTAGATGAGAAATTTTTTTTTATTTCGCCGATAAGAGTTATAACCCAACGTTTATTTTTTACCTTGCCTGATAACTTTTATGCCGCAGAAATATTTTTTCCGTTGCTCATAAGAGTTATTTCGCAACAGTTTTTTTTACATTGCTTGATGAGAGTTTTTTACTATTTCACTTTTGTTTTCATCATATTTATCTTCTACTCCATCTCCATCTTCATAGATATCGTTACCTAATAGCTGGTATGAAACCGTTTCGATTTGAAAGTTAAAAATATTAGTTTTTTTGGTGGTGCGTGTAAAACTTTATATAGAACGTTCAGATATATAGCAGCAGCGTTTGTAGTGTAAACATCTGTGAGATTTTATTGAAGCGAGTGAAGCTGTAGTGCAAACACCTGCAAGTTTTTATTGAAGTGAATTTATAAGGTAAGTGTAATTTTTTCTGTTTGTTGAAAAATGGCTTCAGCAGCCAGTATCGATGATGGTATGATGTACGTGGTGAATCGCACCACAAGATATCAAAATTTATCGGAAGAAGAGAGGAGGCAAATGGACAAAAGGTTAGCAATATAGTTGGCCGGTGCTGATGGAGAAGCCGAGGAAATAAATGCATTCGAAGTCGACGACGTCCCGGATCCTGATTATGTGCCGACGTTAGAAGATGCGGCTTCCGATGCTGAGACTGAGACCGTTATAGAAACCGAGACTCCATGTGACGATGATGAGGATTTGGAATATTTATATGAAGACACTGCAGCTACACCCGAAGCTCTTGAAGCCGTCGATATGGACGAGGAGCCTCGTTCGGCGAACTCGATTATTAAATACCGTTCAAAGGATGGCAAGCTTTGGTCAAGCGCTCCGCCGTGCACAGGTTGACTTCGTGAGCATAACTGCGCTATTGTGGGTCGCGAAGGCCCGGCTCCAGGGATTATGCGATCCCCGGTTTCAATATTTAAATCGCTAATATTACCGGAAATCTTTAGTATAATTGTGCACCAAACGAACCGAAAGGCCCAGGAACTATGCCGCCTATGGTGTGCCAAGAATCCTGACCAGCCACCGCGAACGTGGACGAAACCTGTAACCGAAAATGAAATATACGCCTTTTTTGGCCTAACTGTGTTTGCCCGCATATTCGGGTCAAACAGTCAGCCTGCTCTTGAGTTGTGGGCCAACAACGGAAACCCTATCTACAGGGCGACGTTGGCTGCATACCGATATAAAATTATTCTACAATTAGGGAGCTCACAGTTCTATATTATCTACTGTTTTAATTTTACCATGTGGTAACTTTGTTTGTTGTTGGTTCCCATACTAATTTGAGATAACACTTTTGGGTAAAATTACTCGACTTTGTCTCATGTTTATGTTTTGTGTTAAACTGGCATCTATCGCTGCTTGTACATACATACATGAATTTCGCTTTGGGCGCAGCGCTGCTTGTACATAAGTTTCGCTTTGCGCCTGCCTGAAGCTGGCAAAGAGAAGAGAGAATAGAGGGAAACATGTATGTGGTTTGTTGATGCTCTCTAAACACAAACGCGTGAAAGGCAAACGGTCTAGCAATGCGTGGTGTTGTTGATCAACTTAATACTTTATTTTAACGTAAGGGTTGCTCACAGTTCGAGTGTGTTATCTTGTTAAAGTTACCACCTTTTAACTTTAGAAGTAAACTGCGAATACCCTAAATATATTTGATTCGATAACGGCAACACAAGACCTGCTCGACTATTAGAAAGCAAACCGGTAGCCATTGACGACATTTGGAACATGCTCATGAGCAACTTGGAACGTCTATATGTTTCGGTTGGCATATGTAGGAACCATGCGCAAAAACAAAGCCTGCATACTGCCGCCTGTTGGATCCAAAACGAGATGTATTCAGTACAGTATTCGGTTACCACGATAATAACATCGCGCTATGCTCATACGTTCAAAAAAAAAAAGTGGTGGTTCTCATGTCGACCGAATATTACAATTCCGCCGTCGACTCATCGAAGCCATCGAAGAAGCCATTTCAAATTCTGGACACCATGGATCAGATGGTTAGCGGTTACACGTGCAAACGGGGCACAAACTGGTGACCGTTAGCTCTGTTCTATAACATGCTGGACGTGGCTTGCTTGACTGCATTTGCCATTCATGACAAATTCGGGCATGTCAAGAGGACCGACCGAAGACGTGTATTCCTCATGGAATTGGCACAACAGCTGGTGGTTCCTCACATGGAGCAAAGAGCAACGAATCCCATTGTACGAGGTTTTCAACACCTCAAAGTGGCAATGGTGTTATTCGGTGTAGAGGTAAGCATTTCATATATGTATTTATTCATTGAACTCAAGTTCTAAAATCATTTGTTCAACGTTTTTTTCGCAGGTAGCTGCAGGCCCACCGATAGATGATCAACCAGTCCATGTCGTTTCCTCTGCAACTCGACCATCGTGCCCGCTCTGCTACACGGAACGGAAAACGTACATAAAATTAATGTATTTGGACGTTAATATTAATGAAAATAATAGTTGATTTTGTGCCAAAGAACATGAAATTTAATGAACGGCGTTCATAGACCCGAATGTTTATGAACGAATGTTATGAATATGAATGAAACTAATGAACATGCTCATAAAAATTTAATGAATAGGTTCATAAAATATTGTGAACTTTTTTCATAGATTTTATGAATTTATTTGTATGTTTATATGAATTTTTCATAGATCTCAATGAAGATATTCATTATTTTTATGGACTTATTCATGAATTTGCAAAAAGAAAACAGCACAAAATTTTTTTGGTAAATTTTTTTGGTACATTTTAATAAAATCAATTCATTAAAAAAAAACAGTATTCAATAACATTTCAATACAAAAAATAAAATTTTGCAAGTTTTATATGAATAAAGTACCAAACATCCTTTCGAAAAAAAATTGCCAAAAATCAGGAACTCAAGATTTTTACATTCTTATACTAGAATTGAGTAGGCCACAAAACTGCGTACTCAGATAATTTCTTAAAATTCCAAAAAAAAATTTCAAAACTTTTGAATAATTTTTCAAAAATGTATTTTTTTTTTTAATTTTGAAGTTCCTTAAATTGATTTTAGCTGTTTTTATTGTGGAATTGTATAAAGTCTTTTTTAAATAACGAAAAAGGCAAAATTAAGAGAATTAGCTGAGACTTGTCTTAACATTTTGCTCCTATTTCATTGTGGATAGCTGTATGTATAGTATTGAGGAAAATGAACACTTTAAATAAGTCTTTTTTTTTGACTAGGTAGCAAATTCAAATTAGATTAAAAAAATCAGTAAAATAAATTAAATAACCACTTCACTCTTCCAGCTCTTGTATCAAGATATTAATTTTGGGTGTTGTTTTCCCGCGCGACTTAGAAAAATTATAAAAATATGCTTCAATGAATGTCCAAAAATTGGAAATTGCTGTAGGGTATTCAACATTAAATAAGTGAAACGATTTAAAGCATACATCAACGCATCGATAAAAGTTTGTAAATCGCATCTTGGTATCATCCAAATATAAAAAAAATTCGTCGAATTTTGAAAAAAATTTTTCGCTTAACACTAAAATTAGAGGCTGAATGCTCTCACCGCGTTGCTTCAAAAATTCAATATAATTGTCGAGTTCTTGTAGAGTTTGTCCCACAAACGTAAATGATTCTTGAGAATCTTCGATCGTAAACCTGCAGGTATCTTTCTTGCCAGCGTTGGTTTTTCTAAAAACTTTGCTCGTAGGATAGAGATATCCGTGAAGGCACCACAAAGTTTTAAAAATAAATTGAGTTTCATCTGAAAAAAAAAACATTGAAGATTTAGTTCAATTCAAATTTAGTTTTTATCTTATTTTTATAATCATACCTTTTTCCAAGTGTTGCTCCGAAATTGAATTTATTACAAATTTTGTTGAGCTGTCTTTTAAAATACCTGGCTTCTTAAGATGAAGGAACAACCGTAAAATTTCTTGTTTGCAGCAAAGAAAATTGCGGGTATTTGCGAACATTTTTCCGAAATCAAGGTCAATCTGGAATAACAATTTTAATTTACTTTATAAGTCTACGAAAAATCAAAACCTATGTCTTCCGATTTACCAGACGATATCCATCAGCTTTTTTATATTCTGGCCATTCCCGAAATATTTGGTGGATGTTCTGAAGTTTTTGCTGGATTACATTGTCTCTATAATTCGCACAGGCTTGCCATGTGCTATAAAATTCTTCCGCACTGAGGTTATCGTACTTAATCCGCTGGACAATTTCTTCCGTGCCGATTTCTGGAACTTAAAATGCAAAGATAAGTAGGCTTGTACACTTACGGTCAAAAAATGTAAAAAAGTGTAGAATGTAAAACTGTTCATAATTTGATTTTATTTTTTTGACCGTTAGTGTATCTACACTTACGGTCAATAAAATTGAATCGAAATGTAAACATAGGTTGCAGATAAATTTCGTCATTGTATTTATTCTAGTGTATGTTTTAAAAAAATTTCTATTATAAAGGACATACCAATTTCTGCCATTTCTTCCAACTCTGGAGATGTTGGTCGAATTTTTTTAGCATCCAAACTGTGGCCTTTGAGGTTTTTTTTGTGTTGCAAAATTTCGTATACAATTTCCCCCTCTTTTCTGTTCTGTAGAAACTTAGTTTTTCATTTGGAAAAATTTCCAAAATTTCTTTTTCTAAGCAGTGGCTGCTTTGAAGGGACATATGAAGGTCTTTGTTGATGAAATAGTTGACAATGGTATTGATAAGCATGTTGCGATGTGGTTCGTCAAGTTTATTGTGAGATACATAAAATTCTTTAATGCTGGAAGCTTTCGCATCCGAATTTAAAATTACCGCAAGCGTTATTAATCTTACATCCTGAGACTCTTGCGAGGTAGAATCGGTTGTATAACATATAGGAGATTTTTAATTAATCGAAGAGAAGGTTGAGGAGCATTTATGACACGAGCGATGTGGTGATGAGCGAAAATCCAGAGGTTTGTCGATTTCATTCCTCCAATTCTCAAAATGAAATTCGAAAACAACCCGATCACCGAGTTTAAATTTGTTTAGTAATTCTTTCAAATGGTCACGTTTTAAGATTTTCAGAACTTCAATTGTGACCTTTTCATATGCAAAAAATTCAAGAATGAAGTTAATACTCATACTAGTGCAAAATATAATATAAAACCAACCTTTAAAATGATCGTACATGTTTTCAACATTCCAGGATTGTAGTAAAATTTGTAAACTGTCAGGTTCAAGTTCAGATGGTGATGGCGAAGCCGGACTATCAAAGTTTTCACCGGAGTTGGAAATGCGCTCCATTTATGTATAAAAATAAAAAGTAAATTTCTCAAACTGTGCAATTTGCTCTGAGTCGGACGAAATGTAGTCCTCGTGCTGATTTTATAAGTGTAACTGGTGGTCCAACTAATTCTGAAGATATAAAAGTAAAATATTCACCAAGAAGACTTGGATCGATTTCAAAAGCCATGTAGGGTTTATTATACAAAATTTTTCTTATTTGCTGACAAAACAAAATGATTTGATCTTTATGTATAATTAAAGTGTTTATAACATATATGTAATAATCATTTGAACATGTTCCTACATAAAAATCTTTTCTATACTTAACATTCTTAATGAACACAGTTTCATATAATTTAAGACTATCCTTGGGAATTTGAGTTTTTAAACTAATAATATTTTTAAGGCTGTCTGTGGAAGCATCATTTCGCAATGTCAGCAAATTTTCATTTTCGGATGAGTTAAGAAGAAAGTTAGCGAAGGAAAACTGATATTTTTTAGCTATTGAAACACATATGGCTTTTCTTGAAGTTATTGCGTGAGCATACAATTTAAACTGCCTGTGTTTAGCTTCAAAATGAAAACTCCAACATTTACTCAGTGGGCCACAAGATTTGATAGCTGCTATATAGTGTGTTAAAATATGAAATTTCGGTTTTAGGGATTGACCAAAAAGTTGTATGAAAAGTTTATTATGTGATTCAATTTTGCTGACCAAAAAACATATATATAGATCATTTACTTCGAAGGCTAAGATGTTGTCAATAATTTCAATCAATAATAACACAAAATGCCAAACTTCGTCTTCGTGTGGCACCATATCGCCAATCATAATTGGGAAATTCAAAACAAATGTCAACATTTCCGCTGCAGAAAATTTCAAGTGACTTTTTTTTAAATGTTGAGCAGTTATCTGGGGAGGTATATTTTTACAATCTTGCTTTCCATATTCAAAAGTTTTTATTCTTCTGTTTAATGCAGATAAACTGAAGAATTTCATTTTTTCTGTAAAATATATTATTGCACAACACAAGTCATAGTGGCAGATGCCTTCCATCATATCATGCATAACATCAACTGCGAAGTTGTCAACTACATGAAAGGAAGGAATTCTATTAAAAACACATAATTCGGTAACTCCATTATCTTTGTTGCTTGCACTTATGGCGTAGTTTGAATGATTCCTTAGTAGATCAGACCGTGCCGCACATAGACCCTTAGTTAATTTCCTATCTGCCGTACAAAATCTACAAAAAGTTCCATTGAAAAATTTACTAAAACCTAAGAGAGAATTAAGGCCCAAATTATCTGCAAGGATTAACGCTATTATGAATTGTACATTGTAGGTTTGACCATTTGTTTGATTTACCTGAATTCCTTCTTTTTCGAGAAAAACTAGTTGATCAATTAAGCTTTCCAAGCATTTGTCATTTCCAAACTCTTTCAAATCCTTTGATTTAACAACGGCAGCCAAAAATACATGTTTTTGCTTTGTATCATTTAAGGGCAAGCATGGAAATGGTAAAATTGACAAACAGAATGCTTTCCAGATTTTGACCCTAGTGCATTGTTAATTTCTATGTCGTCTGCATACAAAAAATATGGTATCAATAATTTACCAGGATATAACTCACATTTCTTTTGCCACAAGTCACCTTGAATAATATCTGTAAATTTATCTGACTTTTTAAGCTCTTCCATGTTATTGATCATTTTCAATAGCACGTCGTCTTTTTCTAAAATACATTTGAACGCATGACAAAGTGGAATTATTGCCATTTTTGATATTTTTTTACCCGCAACTAGATGCCCTTTTTTCAAAATAAAATCGTGCTCCCTATTAATTACAACTTCTGTCAGGTTATTTGCAATACCTTGCGACACCTATGTTTTAATCAAACCATATTCTGATTTAACTGATTCACAAAGCTTTGATAGCGAGTTAATGAGGCTTAAAAATTCCAATTTTAGATCGAAATGGCCCGCTAGTCTATGCTTAATAAAATTTTTCACCAATGTTAAAACTGGGTTCATTATCAAATTCTCGACCTTACTTGCAATTTCCATGGCATCTTTTCTTGAAAAATTATTGTGTCCGTGTAGAAGTCATAAACGTTAGAGAATTATCTTGTAATTTTTTTAACTCTTCGTCAATTCTAAATTCTTTTATAGCGCTGGTAGTATCACTTAAAACTGCAACGCCTCCTCCATCGCCGGGAGTGCATGTGCCGGCACGGTCTGCATCAACATCGCAATGCATGAATACGTCGGCAGCGTTTACATTCGCAGGGACTGCACTTGCCGAGGCATCAAAATTTAACTCCACAAGACTCCTTTCTTCACTAGCTTTATTTTTGTTTGAAAACGAGCCTGGAATTTCATCAGGACACTGCAATTCACAAAAAATTTGAATGTTTTCGCTGCAAATGCCTTTTATAAATATTTACACCAGCAAACAGTTGCTGACAAAATTGACAACGCAATCTGTCGTCGGAAAATATATGAAATATTTTCAAATGTTTAATAAATATGTCAATGCTCGTGCATTCGTTTTTGCACAAATCACACAAAGTTTTATTCACCTTTTATTTATAAAAACTAAATTTCTTTCTCACACTTATTCACCTGCCGCTATTATTTCGTTTGTCCACGCTTCTATTCAACAGCTGTTTCTCAGTGATGTCGTCTTTTGAAAATTTCCCTCTTTTGTCAAATCTATAAAAAAAGCCCCCAAATGAGCGCATAATCAACGTAATAACTTCGCACAGAATGATTTGATTTGAGATCGGTTTATGTATTTGACATATTCAAATCTGGGAAAAATAATTTCGTATGTTCGGTAAAAAAATCTACTATCCAGAGCACTTTTCTAAATGTGGCGCAAAATCATAAAACTCTTTTAAATTGGTGTAAATCAAAAATTAATAAATCGATTGAAAGATCAAACGAGTTTCACTCCAAAAAATGTTTCTTGACCGCATATATTTTTAGTAGCATATCTATTTTGTGACTTATTGTAATCATTCAAATCATTCATTCCGGCATAAAATAATTGGTTGGCATTACTGACATTAGCAAAACAGCCAAGTAAGAAAGTCTAAGTTCGGGCTGAGCCGAACATTAAATACCCGGCGCAAGTATTAAATATATGTTTTTCACCTTTCCGAAAGCTACCGCTACATGGTAAACCGGGGTGTATCCATTTTGAGTAAATTGGCGTCCTTAAATTTCGAAATATTGAAGTTTCAAGCATTTCTGAAATGATTTCAATAATTTTCAACGTTTTGCTTCTATGTGGCAAGCACAATAACCACACTGAGTTTGGTACAAATTGGTAGAACGGTTACCGAGATACATATATGTGATCACAAGTAGGCGGTGCCACGCCCATTTTTAAAAATTTTATCATAAACGTATTTCTTGGTAAAGAGTTGTTGCAAGCATCAATTTTGAATAAATTAGCTTCTATAATTACTGATTTATCGAAGATTTAATATTTCTCTAAATTACCGTTATGTGGGATGTGGGCGTGGTTATTGTTGGATTTTAAAAATTTTCGAAAATTTCGTATGTTATACCAAGGTTAACAACTGTGCCAAGTTTGGAAGAAATTGGTGCAGCGGTTACCAAGATATACACATGTAACCATAAGTGGGCGTGGCTACGCCCATTTTCCAAAAATTTATAATATTCTTATTTTTCGTCTAAAACTTATTGTAAATATCAATTTTGAGTGAATAATCTTCAGTAGTTACTAAAATATCGCAGTTTTCGTATTTCTGAAAATTACCGTTATATGGGAGGTAGGCGTGGTTATTGTCCGATTTTGCCCATTTTCAATACCATCCGTCCTCCGCCCGAAAGAAGTGCACATACCAGCTTTCGTTAAGATATCTAAATTTTTACTCGAGTTATCGTGTGCACAGACGGACGGACGGACGGACGGACAGACAGTCACCGCTTAATCGATTTCTCTTTTCATCCTGATCATTTATGTATACATTTGTCTATATCTATCTCGATTCGTTTTGCCTGTTACAAACAACCGTTATGTGAACAAAGTTATAATACCCTTGTGCACAAGTGCGCTCGGGTATAAAAATTCGCCCAATAAATTCTATGAATAGTGTTCATAAATATTGTTCATAAACCGTAAAAGCTGTTAAAATTTTTTATTTTGTTCTACGCCAAGTTTATGAATTTTCATTCATTAACTTTATGAACGTTTTCATTACATTTTATGAAATTCTTGATTAAATTTTTGAAAAATTCATTAAAATCAATGAATTTGTTCATTAAACTCACGACAGCAAATTTATGAACGCCGTTCATTAAAAATTAATGAATTATTTTTATCCGTGTATAAATTGGATAAAAAGCAGCGAAAAACTAGATTTCATTGCATGTATTGCAAAAAACCAGTGTGTCAACAGCATTCACATGCCAAGTACGCGTGCGTTGAATGTCGTGCCTAACCTTTATTTTCTTATGTAAATTTCTTTTATGTAAATTGTAGTTCGAGTACACAATAGAAATTTAATTTAATTTAATTTAATTTAATTTAATTTAATATTATATTGAAAACATTAGTGCATTAAGATGTAATCTTTACTTGCACAATGATACAAACAAATTGCAAGAAATAAAATAAAAAGTACAGATAATAATTAATATTACAATATAGATTAAGGTAATGTGAAAGTTGAATTACAAATCATATATTCTAAAATAAAACAAAGGTAAGCTTATAACCACTATTCTTGATCACGCTTGGAAGAAAAAAAGTTAAATATGAGTTTTTTGAAGTTGCTTATGTGCAACGCGTTCTTCAAGGACAGTGGAAGGGAGTTCCAGAGCCTTACCGCATTAATAAAAAACAGTCTTGAAGTGCATAAATAGTTAAATCTCGGAAGAATAAGACCTGACGAACGTGTACTCTTGGAGAACTTAAGTTTATTGTACAGATATTCCGGGCTCTTCGTGATAAATAATTTTAACATAAAAATGCAATTACGCGCGTTCAGAAAATTTTGTAAATCACAGCCAAGTATAGAATTACGCATAGATGAGAGATGATCGTATTTCTTTAAACCAAATACATACCTTGTGGCAGAGTTAATGGCGATATT